TGTGTGTGTGTGTGTGTGTGTGTGTGTGTGTGTGTGTGTGTGTGTGTTTTAAGTGTATTCTGGCAAAGACCTAAAGTGAGAGACGGTAATCCTCATTTAGAAAGCTACACAGGCTTTAGTGCATCTGAAGGCAAAGGATACAAGGTAAGGGAGTTGGCAGTCTAGACCTTAAGCCACATTTTAGACAAGCTAGACTTCAATCCTAGGGTTGTGTCAAGATCTGAGTCAAAATCATAACTAGAGCCTTGGCAAAGGGACCAATCTGATTCTTGATGCAGTGTTAATTAAGCCTTGACTCTTCCCAGAGCCTCCCTACAAAACCACAACTACAGTCTGACCTTCCATCCTAGACTGGGCTTCAACCATGGTAAAACCTCAGGCTGTCTCTTTCCACACACTGAAACCCAGTTGAGTCCTGGTTGACTCAGTCCAACTCCAAGCCAATCTGTTTTGTCTTCATTCACATCTGCTCCTATCCTCTGCCAGTCTCTCCATTAAGGTCCCCAGTAAACCACTCACTGGAGTGGGGGGAAAATACCTGAAAACTACTTTTAGGCAACATTTAACATCCTCACCCCTTTTACCACATTACTCAGATTACCTGCCACTTGGGTGAGAGGCTCCACACCACAAACCCCACCCAGCACATCTGGTTCTTCTTCCTATGAAGAAGTGTCATGGAAGGTCCTCAGCTACAAGTAACCCCAACCTAAAGCATGCCTCCTCCTGTACTCACCTCAGCTGTCCTGAAAGAGTCTCTATGCCTTTTCTCTCAGCACTCTTCCTAAGGGAGGTCTGGCAGGCTGCAAAATGCCCAGCCCCTTCAGTCTCCACCTCCTTCTGCCATCTGCTCAGGGCTCTTTATTCTTGGTCTTCCCAGCTCCCTCTTTCTGCTCCTTGTTGTTAGGAGTACAGGCTGATTCTGAAGATTCATCTGAAGATATGCCCCCCACCAGACTACTAGGATTCTGGTTCCCTTCTAAGCTTCTACATCTTAAAAGGATGAGCCTGGGCTGTGGGGAAGGAGGGACATAGAGTAGATGGTCTCTAGAGTCCTTTGAAAATGGACCTTTGCCAGCTGGAATATTTAGACCAATCCCAAATGTGAAGTTAGAGTAAGAAAAGGCCAGAAGAAAGTCATGTTTGTGTCTGTGGTGTACGTGAGGGTCTTTCACAGTTTCTTCTCAAAGCTGTCAAACAGCCAAAGGAAAGACAAAGTAAATCTGCAAAGACTTTGTGATTGACAGCCTCTCCCCATCCTGACATGTTCTTTATCCTCCCATCTTTTCTTTTGTAGATGCTGATTGTTGAGCCTGAAACCCAGTGGTCTCATTCTCTAAAGCTCTAAGGACCTCATTCTCTCTGAGCTTCTGGCTCTGAAGGCTAGCTAACATAAAACATGGATCCCCATGGATAATATCTCTGCCTTCTACTCCATAGAGTACTGAAAGTCAGACCAAGGAAAGAAAATGTAATGTGGTTGGTTTAATCCTCTTTATACTACCAACCAGCCACATAAGATCAATGCCATCTGCTTTCTCTTAAGGGTAAAATTACTGAGAGAACATTTACAAAGTTCAATAATAATTTCCAGGTCAAACTAACTCGCTTACTTGTAAAACAAGTTAAAATTACATTGGTATTTAAACAAATGTGACTTTAGTTGGTTTTTCATCTTGTTACAATTAGAAGTTTTATGTCAAAACACAGTGTACATGGACCCAAGCTACAAAAAATAGACAATGTTAAGCCTGGCCATTATAACTTACATCAAAGCTACTAAATACAAAAGATTCTGATACCTACAGAATTTTCACCCTGACTCTCTGCCACTACTCTAGAGCCATTGATTGCTACTGCCTCTATGTGCCTCTAGCACATAGGAATGGCTGACACAAAGATTTTTCTCAGGAAACACTTTTATTTCCATCTAAGATGGGCTCTCATGAAGCAGTAAGCATGAGGAAACACATTCTCGTGTGGAACAATGAGGAAGTGAGCAGTGCATATAAAACAATGGTTTCTGGGACACCAGGCATCTGGCGGTGGAGGGCAGAACAGCTGAGACTACATAAAGAACTGAAATATAGTATCCACAGGCTTCCAGCATCTGCCTCATTTCTATGCTGTGACACAGGAAAGGGGATCCAGCCAGAGTCTAGAGGCTTCCCTCAGTTGTGGAGTCGGACTGAGGGTTTTCAGGATGACCACTTCAGTCAGAACACAAAAGCAAAGTATTGAAAATGACAGATCTACTTAAGATTCTTGAGTCTTCTTCAAGAATTCAGCAGAGTACCGACTATATGAGCAAGATAAGCAAAACTATAAGGAGAATCATTTAAAATATTTAGAAGTAACACTCCACAGTGATCTCACAGGACCAGTCTTTACTGGTAGCTTCCTGACAGTCAGATTGGAGGGCTTCATAGTTCATCTCTTCATTGAGGATACAGAAGACCACGCCTCAACATGAGCAGGTCCTGACAAACCTCCGAGGCACTTCTAAAACAAGTGTGCAAGCTACTATCAAGTTATTGAGATGCCTTCTAGGAACAAAGCAGAAGAGTAACTGGTGAGGCGCTGTCATGGAAGAGGAGGCAGAGGACTATGAGAGCCAAAGGATGGGAAGGAGTGTTATGAAGGGCTGTCTTCTGGCTGATACAGTCTAGAACACATAGCAGCTATGGCCATTTACAAAAACTGTACACAAAATATAAAATTTTAGAAGCATGAAAGTAGGAAGAGAACTAGCTGCGGAGAAGGACCGTGTAGGAGTAGGTGAGGGAATGAGAAAGAGTAATGTAGAAAGACACCATCACAATGAGTACAAGTACTCACCTATGAAACTGACAAGAGGAAATGCTAAATAAACAGAGAAAGATGTACCGTGACTACAGTAATCATAAGAAACCTAAGGTGGCTTTATTCTTATTAGACATCAAACAGTTCATAGCAAATCAAATTCCCATAAACACGGGAAAGTGATAAAACTTCAGAAAGAAAGAAAAACACAGGGTTGTAGTCAAATGTTTCAATAATCCACTTAAGAATTTATTAAAACATGCTTAATAATGGAAGGCAAATTTTCCCTTAAGACAGTATAGAAAGTTCATATTGTTCTTTTGTATTTATACAAACAACTTCACATTGGAAACAAAAAAGTAAAATTATCTTCATTAGCACACAACATGATCATCCATGAGGAAATTTGGTAAAATTTGCTAAGAAATTCTAGAAATAAAATTGGAGTGTAGTAAATTTTAAAATTCAAGATTAATATAGATAAATCATGGTTCTCTCTAGTAACAATGTATAAATTTTAATTTTAATTGAATAAATAATGCCATTCATATTAGCATTAAAACTAAAAAGTATTTAGGGAAAACTTTGATAAAATACTTTAAGTATTGAATGTAATTTATTACTATTTCTGGAAGAAATTAAAAGAGAATGACATATATCATTGTCATTTTTATTATTTAAACATCAACATTTATTATTTTTTATTTTCCCGTGTTCATATTTATTACCTCATTTAATCTCACAATTGTCCAACAGACTATTTGCATTTCTGTTTGATAGTTTCCAAAGTTTCTATGTTTCAGTAGGTCAAATAACTTGTCTCCAAGTAAAAGCCATTGATCTTAATCTGAATCCCATATGATTCCAACCTCACATGCCTCCTTTTCTGATAACAACAGAGGTTCTTGGCAGGGTTGTCCATTTTTAAATTTCATTTTTAAGTCAGATCAACACAGGGAGATAAATGTCAACTTCCCTAATTATTTAAGAAATCTATTTATTAAGAGATAAAGAGGTTTGTTTATTTGTTGTTTGAAGTTTGTTTGTTTTTAAATTCATATAACAACATATCAGAATAGCACTCATGGCCACAATTCTGTAATATTTCAAAAATTCCAGAGGGCTATTCACATAGACCATAACATGAATGGTGCTTCCAAAACTTGTATAATAAAACAGGATACATATGATGGTCTACTGCATGCTGATACCACTTAAAACATTTTTAAAGGATGTCAAAAATCTCTGTTCCATTGCTAACATGATAGTTGGTCATTGTACAAATGAGTGAACTATGTCAAGAGAGATTGTATAAGATATCAATCTATAATATTTCCAAATTTTTACCTTATACGTTGTATTTCAACATTCTTTCCTCTGTTATAATCTACATTCATTTTTATATATACTCCTTCTGTCTGATGTTTTTCTCCTGATGCCAAGATCTGTAAGCAGACTAAGGGTGCTTCAGAAAGATATACCATACCCTAAGAGACATCAGCACCTTCAAAAACTCACATGTTCATCTTCTTCTGTTCCTTGTTTCCTCAGCGTGATTGACAAATCTCCAGTCCAAGACTTTTAAACATGCTTGGCAAACCATCAAAAAATGAAAGAGAGAGGGGTGAGGAAACTATGTGTTGCCACTGAGGAAGAAAGGCAGGGACAGGAACTGCAGGAAGTCAATGCCCAGATGAAGATGCATGAAGATAGGAAGAGGTCGTGGGTAAGACAAAAAAAGATGTGGACTGGCCTTTGAGAAAGAATGGAAAATCAGCATGATTAGTTATGTTCCCAGAGTCATAGTCAAAGCCTGAGCTTGACCAAGTATCCAGGTGTCTTAGAGATTTGTGTCTCAATATTGGAAACTATTCTTGCAACCAGATTTCATCAATCTTCTACTTTCACCCACAGCTCCACACTGAAACCACCTGTTAATTCAGAAATTCCAAGTCAATCTGAGTCTTGAGCCAGATAATCCATACTCAGTCAAAAAGGGCAATGTGTCTGAAACAAATGTGTTAGGAATATTCCCCAAAATGAATTATCACAGCAAAGCACAGATTCATACACACACACACATATACACACATCAATAATCATATTTATATTAAAATACTATGCAGTATAGACATAGTAATGGTATATGCTATAAAACAAAGAGTACACATGCTGAATGACCAGACATCCCAGTTCCACAGATGGATATATCACATTCTACAGATATGAGCAAAAGATAGGCACCAGGCATTCATAAATATACCCTTACCATAAAAATGCATAAATCAGCAGTCTTATGCAGATGTATATCAATACATCAACTTACATATATCTCAAAAATTAAATAAAGGTACAATCAATGACATCATTCATAATATACACACTTCAGGACATAACTAATATATTCACCAGGACATAGCTAGCACATATTCATGTTTCCCTCTCCTTCTTTCACTCCTTCCATTTTTTTCTATATAAACACATCCACACATATCCAAAACTAAAATAGAAAACATCTTTATAGGAGTAATAGTCTCCATAAAGCCACACAGCTGGTCATTGACAGATTCCACACAAATGCATACAAATGTATAAACTTCAGCATTTCACATCAACTGCTCCATTCCAACTACATCCCTCCCCCAAATGCCTTCAGTGACTCCCAGTTACAATTATGTAACTACTTTGAGGTAATAGGTTATATAATCAACACAGATTCACTGACATGCACACAAGAGAGAAAGCACCATAAAAATTATACATCAAAAGTAAAGAATCATGAGATGTAGCATTTATAGCCTTCTCATGTCAAGACTATGTACATTTTCTAGTCGGGAGGAAGGAAAATGACACAGCTATTATACCAGATACCATAGGACAGTTGTTCTTCATGATGACCTGTCTAGACTGGTCAAAAGTTCTGTACTGACATATTCTCAGAAACAAAAATGCAAAGTCTATCTGTACATAATTAGAGGCAGACAGTCCAGTGGGTTGCACGATGTGGTCATGA